TTTCAACTCTTAGAATTTTGGTCCTTTATTTTTGAGTCATTCTGTCATGTTGTTACTTGTCCCTGGTGTGCAAAATTTATTCTTGAACGTGATAATATCGTATATGTTTTTGCAGCTACTTTTTTTAATTTGCAGACATCTATTGAGGGATAAGTGTTAGATGAGAACATATACTCCATTTGAGTTCATTTCTTGGAGCTTTGGTTCATTTTCTAGTCATTTTCTCCTGTCGCCATCTGTCATTGGCATTCACAATTCCCTTTAAGGGAATGAGAAATTCCTGTTTACTTGTGAGGTCATTCATTTCAAAAGGCTGACAATCATTCAAGTGCCAGGCTTCCTTTATGGAACTTTGTTTCCAAAGCTGGTCGCCTCACATCTGTTCTTCTTCCCCTTCATGTAATTTCAAATTTCTTGCTTCTATAGCTAAAATGAATTTTCATCCATTCACTTCCATTACTTATGGTCTGAAAAGGAGGGCTGCCTGAGCGCGTGGGGCTTTACTGTTGATCTTCTTGTATGAGAGATGCATTATGATTTTTAGCTTCCTATTTCATTAATCCCGAGTACTTTCATTGATGACAAAAAACCATGTGGTGTTTTTCACAGGATTCTCACTGCAATCGATTTTTCCAACTATTCCGGTTGAGAAGTAGGTGATAAATTGCTCCTTAGCAGAATGATACTACTGCAGTTTCGTCTAGCTCAGATTGTGTGACTAAGCTACATTGGGTTAGCTATCCAGCTGCTTCAGATTCTCCAAAATGCCGAGGTGTATTGCGTAGTCCAAGTCACCACCACCTGTAGTCCATTGGTTGATAATTTGCTGGCCAAGTTTGCTATAGCCAATCTGGAAATTACCTGTATTATTCTCGACAATATCTACTTTCTCCAATATGTGTGTATAGTAGGGTTTATCTGCAGCTGGCAGTGTAAGTTCGACCGGTCCTGCTGCTTCTTCTTGTATGTACCTTTCTTTTCCCTTTTGATTCTATAGTAATTTACTGTGCTCACACAGACCAGTGGATGTCAGATAAGTTCATGTGTTTATTCGTGCATTGTGCTATAAATTCTACTCCCTCAGTTATTGGTTTCAGAATTGTTAAATCCTTTCATCTCGATTTTATCACCACTCCCAGTTTAGTACCTTTTCTTAAACTGTTCTAAATGGTATTCCAGACAAACTTAAGCTATGAAATTCTATACATTTGGTGCCCCCTAATTACTGATGGAAATGACGCTACATCACTATTGGCATAAACTCTATACTTTCAAGAAATTAATTGTCATTAATATGCTCTTATAGATGTATATCCTACAAAGGTACCTATCTTCCAGCTAGCACAGGTTATTCTAGAAAACTATAATACTAATCCACAATGGTTTTTATTTATACTTTTCTCTTTGTTATGCACAAATTTCTACCTTCCAATTCTCATTATGTTGATTATTCAAGACCTACTATATCAAGCAAGTACCTTTTTCGTGTCATTGCATCTAAATTGCAACAACCATACAAATACAACAACAGTGCAACAGGATAATTCACCAACACATTTAACAAATGAAAACAGGGATTAAAAAAAAAACATAATTACCATTTTCCTTCCCGTAAAAAGCCCACATAATGAGTTGCAAGGGCATTAAAGTTTACAATTTTAGTAGTAAACCCAAAAAGGGGAAAAAAAACACACACACACACACACACAGACAGAGTAACCTATATGGTAGTTCAGCTAAACAAACTATTTGAAAATTGACAGGCTACAAAGAATTGTAACACAACATAAAACTGATAATCATAATTTCATCTGCACATATACATATAATTGGGCATTAAAATTGAAATGCAGAATTGAAAAATTAATTTACGTGAGGAGGGGGAGCAGTTCTTGGCATCCAAAGCTAACGTCAAAGGACCCATTGCCAATCCACACCTTCTCTCTCTCTCACCCTATAACAATCAGTTCCCAACACCAAAAAACCAAAAGCCAAAAAACAAGATAACAAATAAAAGTTTAAAGACCAAAACAGAACCAACTGAAACAGCGAAAAAAAATCAGTGAAGTCTCGGAATTTCATGAATAACCAGAATAACAATTCAAGAAGCATAAATAACAGTATGCAGATACATGACTATTGTGCTTCATATCTTACCAGTGAGTGAGAGAAGTTTTTGGTGAACTGGGAACTGGCTACCGGCCGCTTATGGCAACGTAGTCCGGAAGTGTGGGAGATAAGGACAGAAAGGATTTTGTCAAGAAAAAAAGGATGAAGCCTCAGTTTTCCCTTTTTTTTTTTTGGGTATAGGGGCGTGCGTTAAGAGCGGTCTCACGTGTTAGTTTATTCTTTATTGGAACGTAAGAATTGTGACACCGCGTGAGTTTATAAGAATGCAAGAATTGTGATTGGGTGTATTTACACAGCAAGTATTCACTCATTTCGACAATTTTTAGAAAAATTTATTTTAGAAAAAAAGAGTGAAGTTCATTTGGGAATGTATTTTAATCGGAATGATTTTGTGGACTAATTTAGGTATGATTAAATGTATTAATGATGCTTCAATTGGTACCCATTAGAAAAATCGTTTAGATGTGATTAGATGTGATTAGATGTACTAATGATCCTCCAATTGGTACACATTAGAAAAGTTTTAAAGATTTTCTTTTTATGAGTATTAGGGACTTAGGATGAAAATGAATTTTTTTAATAAATGTCTAACCCGTTAAGAGGGGTCTCACGTATTAATTTATTAAAATATAATAATTGTGATTGTGTGTATTCATTCACGTGATAAATTTCACTATTTGGCAACTAATAGGAATATCTATTTAAAAAAAAAAAAAGAGTGAAGCTAATTTGGGAAAGTATCTTAATCAGAATGATTTTGTGGACTAATTTAGGCATGATCAGATGTACTAATGATCCTCTAATTAGTACCCGTTAGAAAAATCATCTATAAAGTTTTAAGGATTTTCTTCTTATGGGTACTAGGGTGAAAATGAATATTTCTAACTAATGTCTGGTTAATGCTTTAAGTGCTGACAATTTTTTTTCTAATAAGTGTTGAATGGTAAGTTAAATGTAATTTAGGTGTGTTAACGTATGCCCACAGGACTCGATTAGAAAAATCCTTTAATAAAGAGTGAAGATAATTTAGAAAAGTGGGTAAATAAAAATGATTTTGTGCATATCATTAGATATACCAACGATCCCCAATTAGTATCCGTTAGAATAGTTCTTTATAAATTTACAAAGATTTTTTTAAGGGCAAATTACACTTTAACCGTCTGTGGTTTAGTGTTTTTGTGCATAACTCCCTATGATTTCAAAAACTATACATAACCCTTCATGGTTTGGATTAAAGTGTCAAAGTAACGGAATTTGTAATCCATAACAGAGTCACCTAAAATGTCAAAAATACCCCTATGTAAAGTTAAAAATTATTTATTAACCACTGGAAGGTTATGTGTATATTTTGAAAATTATACGGGGGTTATATGGTAAACATAAGATCATACGGGTTTGTGCATCATGTATATTATGTTTACATATTTTGGTTACTTCAGCGATTTTAATTTTTAAACAAGGGTAGTTTTGAGATTTTAAAAGGTTCTATTATGAATGATCATTTTCGTTACTTTGACACTTTAATTCAAACCATGAGGGGGTTATATATAACTTTTGAAATCATAGAAGGGTTATGTACAAAAACACTAAACTATAGGGAAATAAAATGTAATTTGCCCTTTTTTCAATGAGTAGTAGGGGTGGAAATGAATATTTCTAACAACTATCCAGTTAATATTTGTTGAGAAGATAACTTGAAACCAATTTCTTTCTGATTTGAGGAGTATGAAAAACATCTTTCAAAATTAAAGTACGACCAGAGGTGAATTTTAGATCCACATCACCAACACCCACCACCTTAGTGGCATGTGAGCCATTTTAGCTTCTTCAGTATGAGTGTAGCTTTTGAACCAATCTTTATCATGGCAAATGTGCCTAGAAGCACCCAAATCTGCCCACCACCCTTCATGATTCGCTAGTATGTTCACCTCAATTATCATAGCCACTAAAGGTTCTTTAGCTACATGAGCTTGAAGTTTATTACCATACTTTTTAAGTTGTCCACGTTTTCTAAAATAACAATCCTTGGGTTGGTGGCCAAGTTTTCTATAAACAAAACATGGACCCCTAACAACTTTATTATTATTAGAAGGGGTTTCTTGGTTCTTTTTGGGTCCTTTATATAACATTAGAAGCTTTACAGAGGTACCTGAGCTGATGATACAAAGTTGTGCTTTTGATGCAGGAGTATGTTAGAACAAAGATCTCGTTGAGTCTAGTTAGCCATTCTTTGTTGCCAATTCTTTTTTGTAGCTTTAGATATTCTTTTGTGTGGCTGGAGCACGTGCTAGGCATGTGCCACAGTAAGGGTATTTTGATCTTTTGTCACTTTAGAGCAACAATATGTTCAGAGCCCTATAAGTATCCATTTTAGGTAATGCAGCCAGCAGTCTTTTATCTCAATTATAACATAAGATTTCTATCAGCTCTCTTGGGCTCTACAACATCTAGAAACTAACTTGCTTCCAATTTTTGTGCTTTTCCTTCATCTATCTTCATCTATCCTAGCATTTTTGTGCTGTTAGCTAAAATCCCTTTTAGTTTTCTGCACCAGCTTTGTAAAAGGGCATGGAAGACTTACAACTAGCACTGTTCTTATTTATAACATGGTTGCAGCATACTAGTAATAATCAAACTGAAAATTAGGGTAGGTCCGTTGCATTTGTCCAATATCTTCTGGTATGACATTTTTCAAGAGGAATTGCCCTGATATAAAAAACAGTTCCAGCAAAATATGGGGACAGGCACTAGCTTAATAATGTCAGACGGGTCCATTATCTGTCATTTTCATTCTTTAGACAAGCAAAAAACTCAGGGAGTAAGTACACCTAGCTCTAAGGTCATCAACAAAAGGAAATCCATGAAGTATTCTAGCCTCTAACCAATGTAAGACTGGCAAGAGAGAGAGTTGCAATCAGAACAGTGAATAGAAATCTTTTGATATAACTTAGAGATTAGTTTCTCTAAATAGCCAAACCATCTTTGTGTAACCTTGAGTCTAGCAAAATAATCATAATAATTGGCTATACCAAGTTCAATATTTAAGGGAGATACATCATTTTCATATAATATCAGGCAGGAAATGCAATATACAAGACACTGCTACTCATGTACAATAACTTAATCAAAAAAAAAAAAAAAACAATAGACAGCAACCTGAAGACAACAGATTCTGAGTACATCAAAGGACAAGTGACAATATAGTTGATGTAACAATCAATCTTTACCTCTGGAGTGGTCCTAATGATGGGCCTTCTGGACTCGCCATTAATTGCTTCATTATTCATGTAGATATGATCCTCAGAAATTGGCATTTCTTCACAAGATCCAAATAATTCCTCTTCCGAGCATATATTAGATGCTATTTCAGCTAAAATGCCTTTGGCCTCTACTCCACCCCAATCTTCACTGAATTGTTTCCAATCGTCTTCCGCAATGATTGTAAGTGCATCTGTCTAAAAAGAGATGAAAAAATTAAAAGACTTCCCTGTGACAACATTCCAGCATATTCTCAGCTTAATTCCAAGTATAGGCATTTGTTCTATTCACAGAGATTAGAAGTCATAGCTTTCTGTCAGTCACAGCAATTATAGGTCATCAAAATATGAGAAATGCATATCTGACACACTTTTTTTAAACAGGGATTGACATAATGTTTGGAGAAACATATAAGGAGGTACAAGGTGCTACTAACAAATAATACTGTTTAAGGCACAAAATAAAACCATAGGACACCCAAGTTAAAATAATTTTCCGGCAGTATTTTGAAGTTACAAAATCCCAAGAGTTATAGTTCCTATCACTGGATGCCACTAGAAAACAAACTTCTAGAAAAAGAAGAAATATCATGAGAAGGAAAAACTTCAATTAACCTGAATGAACTGACACAAAGTTAATCAGAAAAAAAAGTTTGAAGGTTGGTTATATTTGAACAAGAGAACAAAATCATCAGATGAATTTATCATATATTACGCTTATCATTCAAATTTGCAAGAAAGACTGTGATGATTCTGATACTTACAGATGGAGCCTTTTGGAGAATCACTCCACGCTTATAAATGACATCCGGAGGCCTTTCCAGAAGTTTTGAGTGCTGAATTAGAAAGAAACCATCAGGAGATACAAATTACGATGACCAGAAAATAACAAAGTGACCATCAAATACTTCGTACAAATAAGAAGCTTAGTTCAATAATATTCCTATGTTAAATCTATATTCACAGTTTTATCTTGGATAATTTATATCCTGCTGTTGATAAGAAGATGAACACTGTATTCAAAAGCTTGAAACAGATTTTCTAGGTCATTCTCCTATCCTATTTGCTGGCCACATTTTCTTTTTTTTCACCAAAAGACAATCAAAGAGTTGTTACAGATTGTAAACTTAAGTCCCTACCTATCCTAAGTTGAATCCACATCTTACAGTAATTAACTTTGTGAAAGGATATTCTGCTGTTGATAACAAATTCCATACCCATTCCAAAAGCTTGAGACAGATTTTCTAAAGTCATTCTCCTCTATCTATTTTGCTGGCCACATCCAGTAGGCCCCTCCCCCCTTCCACAAAATGAAAAAAAAAAAGAAAAAGAAAACCAAAAGAATTCCACTATCAACAATTACCAAATTTGAAAAAAGCCCCTCTTTTTTTCCTATATGAAAATGCTAGGTTCCAAACTTCCAATTGCATGGTGCTTATACAGACTGACCACTTAAAATTGGATCGACTAAGTATCTTATGCTATAAATGAAGCCAGGGATGATTTTGAAAACCAGAAACCTTTCTAAGGCATCAGCATTTGTAAAACAACACAGGAATAAAGTGGAAATCATAATTGTTCAGCCAATTACGTATACTACTATTGAGCAAGTTTCTGATAACCTTCTCACACATCAGTGAATTAATAATGCTACACAAAGTTTCAGGTTCTATTGCAGCATTATTCTTTCCAGTTGCATTAATGTAACTTCTCCATTTAGACAGCCATGAAGAGGGTAATAAGTAGTATCTACTGCATGGATTAATGCTAATACTCCTGTTCATGGCTAATCTCTCGTGACATTGCCGTTCTCTGAATTTAAACTCCCTGCAGCATATGAAGAAACCAGGTCAGCAACATGGAAGTTACATTCCAATTAGAACCAATTAAAAGGTGCATGATGACCTCAAGTTGTCCTCCAAAGTAGCGACTTCAGTAAGTTCAATACTACATTGTGCACAAGGCTCAGAATCTGAAGAAAAAGTTGAACAACCCTCAGAATCATCAGGCTTCACTGTCATAGCACTTTTATGTAAAAATTGCCAAAGAGCCTCAGGAACTAGCACACGCTTAGCACCAGTTGCTTGTTCAGGCAAAAGTCCACCATGTGGACACCTGATCGAAGCTGTAGGTCCTGCGTCACCTTCACAAGGAGAGTCAATTATTTTTCTGCGCACCCACTGATGCAACCTGCCACAGATGATCACTAATCACTAATCATGAACTGATAGCAAACTATGTAGAACAGAAGCACAGAAATGAGAATGGGTTGAATTTGGAACATGATAAAGGGATCAAAACCCTTTCTCAACTTGGTAAAATGTTTACCACACCAATGCAAATGTATAAAAAGAAACACACTATGATCATAAACTACAGATTGGTTGCACAAACAAACAATCCAAATTTATCAGCACTTGTCCTGGTTTCAAAAAGCCTTGAGGCATGCCATTTAAGAGAAACCACCAGGTATTACATGTACACTTGATATCTGTGTCAGCAGAAAAGGAAAGATAAGGCACGTCTGCTTTATGTGTATGTATCATGTGTGATATTCTCATATGTAGTCATACCAAGATTTAGATACAAAGTATAGCTCTCCATCCCGGCATTCCCCAGAAAGTGCTGCTTCAGCAATATCTCGCATCAACATCCTTTGATCTCTATAGTTATCCGCATTAGCCATGGTACGAGCAACTTCAAAGAGGCAATCTTTGCAGCAGTCATCCTTGCAAAGTGTTGGACCTCCATTATACTGTACTTACAAGCACCATGAAATGATCATAAGCATTAATACTCAGTTAAATGCCAGACAAATGCAAATTCAACATAGAAAATAACATGGCAGACGAAGGAATAAACCAGATTATATGCTGGAGAAATTCCCTAGTTACAGTACAATAACTCTTTTCAAGCACAATGCTAAATAAAAACATAAGCACATTCAGATTATCCGTCCACCAAGAGATCAAAAGCTAAAGTTTGTTTTGCTATTGGCTGTTGCAGATTACTAGCATGATACTGCATAACTCCATACGCCAAAAGCCAAGACAACGGTGAAAAGATCTTAAAGGTTATGCATACATAAACCAGACCTAACAATGGGGCAAATCATGGGTCACTTGTATTTGCACAAAATTCACAAATCTGACACTTGTATAGTGAGACTTGTGTCTATGAAAATTTCATCACTTTGACTGCACTGATAGTCCATCAGAATTATCTAAAATCCACAAAAGTCAAGCTAAATACAGTTGTATTTACATAAAGATGTTTACCTACATAAGTATGTGCATACACATATGGATACTTTCATATCTATGTATGCACACATATAAACATGCATACATAGCTAAGATTCTTTCAGGCTTTGGTTTATGTGTCGCACCGGTGATTCATTCCTTTATTCCATAAAGGAAAATGGTAATCTCTTCAGAGACAGTATAAATATTGGATTGCAAGATTATTCAATAGCCCGAAGCCTTAGGAATATAAACAGGGGTACCCAGTGGTATGGCAAACCCTTGTAAATTCAAAAAATAATAAGACTCGTGCAGTAGTGTATGAAAAACTCTACAAATAATCGTTCAAGTGTTCATATGAAATATTCGATCCCATTCGTTATGCTTTCAAGCACAACGTTTCACAATTGAAGTGTCTGGCTCAAAAGTGCGAATGAGGTATGAATACATATCTTATAGATTTAGAGATTTTGGTATGTGTACTATCACTATACACATTTCCCTTGACATAATTTTAGAAATTCAAGGGTGAGGGATAATTGTAATCTTTTCTTTTCTTTTCTTTTTTTTCAAGGAGGGATATTTGGAATCTTGAAGATGAAAAGTCAGCAGTATTACTGAAAAGATGATTATGTTCCCAGAAGCAATCATCTCACAGCAAAGGAAAGGTGAAAAATGTTAAAAAGTGCTTCCACAGAAAGCTCAAGATCAATCTAAAGTGGGATCAAGTTGACATCAGGCTGTAAAAGTTTACTTGAGCAAGCCTAACCAAACCTGCAGCTCGGTTTCCCTAGATTGCATACCATATTCTGACAGCTGAAAAATAAAGGATAAAGCAGATTACTGCAACCAAAAGCAACTGGCAAAAGAAGAAGTGAGATTCAGAGTACTTAACCAGAAAATCAAAAAAATTTGGCGTCCCATCTTTCAAAGGTTACAAGTGACTTGGCCATGATTGTCTTGAGTCTGTCATCCAAAATTATACCATGAAACAGGACTGCTGCAATGCTTCTATACTACTTCTAACAAGCACTAGTGGCATGAACAACATGAAAATGAGCCAAAAAGAACTATAGTTAAGTGCTCATAGTTGTAGCCTTGTTTTATCCACAACTATTGCCAATGGAGTCTAAGAAGGTAAATCCTTCTATCGGCTTCACAAAAATCCTCATCCTGAAACCAGTTAAGAATTTTCAATAAGATTTCATGGAAGACTGGTGTTCATGGAGTCAAATGTTGGACTGTCAAGGAAGGGAAATTATACAAAACTTCAGAACCAAATTAACTGATTTACTAAAAGTCAATGTATTGAATTACATATTCTGATCCTTGCAATTCTGTAGCTTTTAAAAGTGAAACGTGCTTCCTACAATTTGCAGGAATCTTATCTAAGTTGCCATTTGTTTGACAGACTATCTATTGAGTTGCAAAGGACTCACACATTTAATATGTTTTCGAGAAAAATCCATGTCATTACTACACATTCTATTAGAAAACACTATCACCAAGAACCATAAGCATAGATGCTGTGTGGCCTGAAAAACTCTCAGTTGCTCCACGGTAACATCTTCCATTTCCTTCAAGAAAATCTAAGCAAGCACAAGGGCAAAACAGCACAGTCCTTGTCACCACTTATAGTTAGACAGATTAGCCTCCCGATGCCAAAGACTACTCAGAAACCTTAATATTTTATTCATCTCCTCTTACATAACAAGAGTATCCAGGTGAAATACCTGAATTTGATATTCTTAATGAGGTAAGGACGATGGTTTTTAAATACCATATAAAGCACATCACTAACTGGTTTTATATGTGGAGATAACCAATACAAAAATATGAAAGTTCTCGAAAATTAGAAGTCCATAAGCCACACTACAATTCATCTGAAACTGTTAGTTCTGAGATACCAATTAGGGCCAACAAAAGAAGCAAAAGCTCAGTATCAAACAAGAAAAGTCATTCAAAGATCTCATTGATTTCCAGTATTTACATGCCTGACCCTTGGGATGTTGCGGCAACCAGGAAAAACTACAGGGATGACAACACTAATTGCCTATTCAGTATTTATGAAGAATTAAGTTAACCAAAATTAACCATCTCCAGGTACCGTCCTAACCAACCTGACATTTTCCATATAAAACTAAAGACGATTGCCCACTAGATTGCAGTATTAAAAGCAATACTTAACATCAAATACTCAATTGACACCAGCAAAATTCACGGCCTACCAACATAAACCTCAAATTCTATCAACTTCAAGGCATTCGGTTATATATTCTATTTAGTATACATTTCAGCATATTTTGCCTCATCATGCACATCCACAAATTTTAACTCCCACTCTAAATGGTATAGTCAACTAATCTTCTTTCCAGCCAGGAAAAAAAGACACAACCTGATATTATGTGCTTTAAATATCGAGATTTCGATGTTATTAACCAATTAAGTCATATTACACATACTTCAAGCAGTTAGTTAGACCAAGGTAAGCTACAACTAAAACATAAAATAAGAGATAATTCTGACAAAAGACTGAGAAGGTTATAGTATTTTCAACGTATGACATCAGAAAAGCAATCAGTCAACAAATTCATCCTACACCCTCCCAAAACCCCCTGTTCTCCAGTAAAGGGGACCAAATGTAGGCCAAACAGCTGGCTTACCACAGAAACCATGGGAGGTTTTACAAATTTGTTCAAACTTTTTAGAGAGCATAAATTTACTACTTTACCTTAGAGAATATCATGGTCCACGCTTCAGCGGACAACCGTTTCATGGAGCTGACTTTTGCAACAGAAACTTTTCCATGCACGCATTGGATAGGAGTATTGTCAATACTACTGCAAAACACACGAAAAATGAGAAATAAGGAGCTACAGAGGCTAGCAGAAGTCCACATTTCTTTATGAGAGCTAAATCTTTTTAAGGTCTTTCAAGAAAAAATAATGCAACTGCCACACATCTTTCACTTGAGAAATTTACATCTTGTCATGAAGAATGGTGCAGCACATATTCCTCATGATTGGAAAGATCCACAATACAAAAGTACAAATAAAAAATTTAAACAATTTTCAAATGTAAAAACAGAAACAAAAGTTATTACCAACACACAAACTTACGATGAGACAATGCTGTCAGCCCAGTGACGAAGCCATTCAGAAGAAATCCAGAAGTATTGCTTATCGAGTGATTGAGCAGCAGCTTCAGAAAGAATTGATCGCACCTCCTGTCGACGCTCCGTTATGCGGTTAATCTCACATTCCTTCTTTAATTTGTACTCTTTGCAGGAATTAACATATTCCGCATTAAATAGTTCTACCTCTTCGGAAAGATGAGGGGGAAGAGGACTATTGAGTTGTGCTGCAGAAATGTTAGTAACTGTTTCCAATTTTTGGCCATCAGAGTTATCATGCCAATCACTGCTATTCTTTGAGCTCCTCAGGACATACATCAACATATATGCATCAGAGGATGAGAAAGATTTTACATGATTGTTACTACTAGAATCTGAATTTGACTGAGCTGTATCCGTATCATGTCCATCCTTAACATCTGTTTTTCCATAAGATGAAAACTCAACTGGCTCAGCTGGTGAAGACTTGGCGGCAGAATTTGAAGAATTTCCACCAAATGGTTGTTGACCTAAATTTGAGACCAGTTCATCGTCAAATTCCCACCATTGCTCCGTGCTCTCATCCTTAATGTGGGCTATATAATGACCACTATTTACAGCAGCACCTTTGTGGATTAATACAGCTGACAAATCATACAATAATTCTGATTGCGAACCCTCAGATAACCTACATGCCATATTCAATTGCCCAGGGAAACAAAATGCAGATGTAATCTTTTTCTTCGTTGTAGTCTGCAAAGTTAACAGAAGAGCAGCATCCATGAAAAATATACCAAAACTGAGTCACTTCCCATCGTAACTTAAAACTGTTTTCATGTGCAAGAGTACTACTTTTCCATTAACTTTATTGAAACTACAGGTCTGCCAAACAAGAATAATGGCCATAAAACATTTACATCCTTTGACAGATCTTACAGACTAATTTGGTCCAGCAAGAAGGATCCCAAACACCTAGCAATCCCGCTCTCTCTCTCCTTTCTGAATTTTTTTTTGTGTGCGTGTGTTTATGTGTGTTAGTTGAGGTGGTAGAGGTGCTTGCATTTTTTCCAAAAAAAGAGAAATCATCTACATAACTAGTGAATACAGCACCCCAACATATATTTGAGAAGCTACAGAATGAGGTAGAGAAAAGGATACGGGCCAGAGCAAAGAGAACTCATAATGAAAATTTCAAGATAACAGTTAGACAAATAACATATGGAATCTAAAATTAAGACTTCCAAATTGCTCGAGCATTGACTTCAAATACCTTCAAAGATTAGAATCCTATTTTGTTGCTTGGAAAAGGTGTCTTTAAGAGTCTAAATGTTTCATAAATACAGTTTCAGAAATCTTAGTCTTTCTAGATATTTAGTAGCAAATGATAGTAAAGCTATTTCACAGGAATTTTCCTGCTTTCAGTATTTAATGTTGTCTTAAAAGTTAAATTTGGAATCCTTCTCTGAACTGGATCTAGGATTAGTAATACAAGAGGAATCCCATCCTTCTTATAGTAATTGATAAAACCTTGTCAAGGTAGGAAAAATACTGTACTTCACTTTCAAAGAGATTTCTATACAGATTTCAGCATAATAAAACTTCTGCAGACATTAAAGCTTCTTAAAAATTGTGTCACAATAATGCTTTGGATGTGATATCTAAAAATTTCCAGGAGTTATTCCTTGAGTTTCCTTGTCTGGTCCAATCTCTGTTTCCAGTTTATAGCAGATTTGCCATTCTTAAGTCCTTTTTACCATTTAATTGTAGCTTTCAGCTCTTTCCAATTCAGAAGAATTTCCCTAAAATCTTATTGGCCTACCAGTAGGTTTGTACTGCCTCAAATAGTTTAAGAGTGTGATTCAACAAATAAGTTGTTCTAAATGCATTACAGCTATGAAATTAAACACAAAGCACGAAATTTTTTCGCATTAGATATCAAATAAAAGAAACAAAATGTGGAAAGTAACTCAAATTTTTTCGTACATTTGGGAGGAAAACACAACGCTTGAGCTGGAAATTCAGGACAGCAGGCAGTGATCGAAGCTTAATGCTACGAGTAGCATTAACCCGAGTTGCACACGAACAACAGTAGTATTGGTTGTCTCCTTGAAGCTCCTCAATGCTAAGGTAATCATCTAAACTCTCATCTAAAGTCTTCAATCCCTTCACATTCAATTCCAACTCATAGAAGTCCTCTATTTTTGCTGAAGCTTCAGATTCCTTCCCACATTTTGAGCAACTACAGAAGAAACAAAATTAGCAACCCCCTAATGGAGCAAGGCTTCCTTAGCAGAAGGGATGAATCACAAGGTACTTAACAGGCAAAAGGAAACATTCAAAGCATACAGCTTGTATGCTCCTAATCTGCCAGAAATATTGGGCTCCGTTGGGGTTGCTCTTATGAGAAAAATTTTCTTTTTCAGAAACCAAAACACGGATTGTTTAAATCTTTTTTCTACCACCAACTTTCTCAAACAATGGCCAAAAACCTCTGAGACAATTACTCCCTCTTTCGTAAAAGTAACATATATACCCCACTTCCAACAAAATATTACGGTTACTATTATTTGAAATCCTCTTCCAAGAAAATATATCTTTACAATTATGTAGCCAAAAGGAGCAAATGGTCAACCATTTACTCTTGAAATCTACTCAACAATAATTACGAAAACAATGAAAAGGAAACACTAGTGAGGGCATGTAGCATATATGGAAGCCTGATATGAGGGCAACCATCCTGAATAGGAGACAGAACACCTAAAAAGACACAAATGGCAACAAAGCTATTTTCATGTTGTGATATTGCAATATAATGTGTAATGAATGAGTTCAAGTTGGTATATAATTAACAATGAAGAAAATGAAACTTCCTTTCACACAAAAATATCTTGCTAGTCCTCAAACCTGATCCAAAGTTAATCAGAAAAAACATAGTTGCATGCACAAGAGCTAAAAATCTCAACTTCAAAACAGTTAGAATAGGTAATTGACCTCCCTGCCAGAATTCTAAGGTTTCTTATTTTCACACCCAATTTTAACTTAGAAACTACCCTTCCCTATCTAACATACAAGAGTAAACTTGAAAGTACAAAAATATCTCGCATGAGACACATGAAACCTTAAAAGGTCACTGGAAATTTGGAAAAACGGAGTGTGGGTTTTCCAGTTTCAACAACAAGAGTGAAGATCTAGGTAGCTACACCAGATCCAGGGAAGGTAGAAGTAGTTTCCCATTCATTAAATGTTTCAGGTCTTATTGTAGTACTTGCTCTTCACAGGTAGTGAAGATCTAGGTAGTGACACCAAATACTAAGATCTACAGAAAAAAGCAACAAAAATAACTCACTAATGACCACAGATTCAACAGGACAACCAGAAAATCCATGGCTCAGAATTGATAAAAAATGTTTTATCTTGCAGGTCAGTCTGCATGCAAGAGAAAGAGAACCTGGCTCCAGGAAGAATTCATCAGACTTGCATGTGTTAAGCATATAGCTTGTACTCTATTCATTTTGCCACCCTGTCCACCCCAAACATCTAGTAAAAAGAACCCGGCCCCCAACTGGAGCTCCCTTTCTTGTTCTCGGAATCAACCACAACTCCCCTATCACATTCAACTGCTACATATATAAATATGATATATCTGGATGAAGGAACCGAATTCTAAGACTTGACAACAGAAAGCATGACAAAGACTCCAGGAAGACTTCGTTAGACTTGCATGTGTTAAGCATATAGCTTGTACTCTATTCATTTTGCCACCCTGTCCAGCCCAAACATCCAGTAAAAAAGAACGGCCCCCCAACCACAGATCCCTTTCTTGTTCTCACAATCAACCACAACTCGCTGAAAACATTCAACTACTACAGATATTTTAAGTGGAATTCTTGGTCATATGCCAAAAGAAAATCCAAACATGGAGAATTAGTTTCCACTTATCCCATAAACGAACAAGCCCTTAGAGTAGCTAGATTGTTTGCAGAGTTAAACAAATTGAGAAGCTTTATATGCCTCCTACATCAAGCATTATCCTCTAGACTATGGAGATAATTTATCTTCTGATTTTTAGGTCCCTACATATTTTCTGGTACAGAGAACAGAGTCTTATACTATACTACAAAAATCAAAACCCTGTTGAAGCATGTTTTCATTTCATCCAAGTGAAAACAGCAGTTGTTAAAACTCGATTTAATCCTAAAATCATAAATTTCAGCAGTAGACAAGAGAACGGAAGAAAAAACCAGTCCCATTTGCACTGAAGCTCTGATTTGATCCTACGTCTTACATATATGCTCTATTTTTCCTGATCTGTGCAAATCCAATAAACCATACAAACAATTATCATAAAATTCCACATCTTTTTAATTTATTTTTTACTATGACCATTGGATCTTAAGCCAATCTGCAAAAACACCTCAAATAATTTCAGGCAGGACACTGTAATTCTAAACCTTGGTTACCTTGTAGAGTTAACATCCACTATATGGTGCTCTATCTATCTCATTTACTAAAGTTTGATGTATAAAGATTCATTACTTTACACAATATAGGTGAACAAGCTCAGATGTCAATCCACAATCTCTTGGTTTCTCTTCTATGACTTATTCAATCAACCATGGATCAGCACCATCCTCATTAATACAACAATGAAGATAAAGTTTTGCTTGTAAATCAACAGTTCAATCTTGATAAAATGAGACACTGCATCTACAGTATCACAGTCTTGGGAACCTTTTCAATACAAAATTCTTCCAATGAAAGAGATTATTATATTCATACACTTTTACTGGTACCACAGAATAGAAAGAACATGATAGAAATACGGTTTCAGATAAACTCAAAAGATTCACCAGGTAGCCATATTGGTGATGAAGAGATTTTGAAGTATAAATAAACCATATATATTGTTGTTATGTAAGGAACAATTAATCTCACTTACGTTGTAACATGTGATACACCTCCTCGGAAAAGGTCTTGAACTATTGTTCTCGACTTCAAAACTTTAGATTGGCTCAAACATCTCTCAAGGAGAGAAAAAAGTAGGGTAAGGAACTCGTGACTGTCTTGCTGAACACCATTATCTAGCTCCAGTGTCTGAATAAATGGAGCTGAATCAACAAAAGCCATCTTACTGGAATGCAGCTGTGCAAAAAGTCGTGCAAGCCGATCTAAAACAGGTTGTTGTCTTAAAACTTCTGGTTCCACAGAGAAAACACCTTCTCTAAATGACCAATGCATGTAAAGGCACTGGAGTATACTATTAGCATAGCAGGTTGCGCCCAGATTTGTGAGGCCAGCAGGTGAATCAGGGGATAAACGGAGGTCCTTAGATGGGTCAGGACCAAGAGAATGGACGATCTCCGATGTCTTCTGCCACAACCCGGATTTTCGACTTCCACTAGGTGGTGGGATCAATCCACAAAAGCAATTGGGATTATCCTTTGTATTCACACGACATCCTTGACAGATAGGTTTCCACACCATGTATAGTTGGTTTATGTCATCTTCAGTAACTTGCCCTGTAGAAAGAATTCTCCTAGAGCCCAAACAAAAAGCAATTAGGACAACAGAAATCTCAATATAATTAGGTATGATATGATAATAAATCTACATCATATGTCATTTTTCTTCATATTCGTTTTTATTGTCACCCAGCAAGACAGAAACCATCCATCTTTTAGAATTCTGGTTCTTGGAAAAAAAAATCAGCAACAACCGTCTCGAAAGCACAACATTTTTGGCTCAACAGAAATGTACAATGCTAGAACAAATATCCTGAATGTAATACAAGAGCCCATTTGGCACCATGGTACCATGTTTCCAGAAATAATTCTAACTCACAAGTAACATTTGAATCCCAGGCCAAACTAAGTGAATTGCTTGTTCTTTGTCTGCCCTGCTGTTTATCACTGCAGTATACTGATTTTGTTGTCAGTGCCCTTTTTCTTAGCTCATGATACCATAGAACAAGCACAGTATCCCCACCATGTCTAACAAAATTAATTCATCTATCAGGAGTAGGAAATACTGAATTACAACCTGTAAGGTAATCACATTTCTTCTGGAAATTCTGCCAAAATTTTGACTAGGACTAGTAGAAAAAACCTAAATGTTCAGTAGCCTTCCATAGTAATAAAAGACATCACCTTTTTTTTTTGTCTTTTTTTTGCATCTATGTGTTTTCAGTAAAGTGAACTGGAGGATTTAAAAGCAAACAAAGACTGGCTAATCCCTATCTCAATCTTTTCCTCCTACTTAGACCCAGCTAATAAAAAAACCTTCTTCTCCCTGCTGAAATCAACACCCTCTAGCTTATCCACCGGAAATCCCTTAACTAGATATTGATGCTAACTTTTTCAAATTTGAAGAGTGCAATTACTAGAGTAAAGAGTGAATTTTACGTTGTCTGATTATAAGCTTCAACGAAAAGTAACAGTTTCTCTATGCGCTTGACACATTATAAACTGATTTTAGAACCATCTGTATTTACACACCGAAAATTTTACTCAAAAATCATCCTTGACGAACAATGTTACCAATCTTGTCCAGTCTCCTTAGCATTGCAGGCATGGTAAACAAAAGAAAATTATTTCGGGTGGCTGTTAACCACTCATTGGATGATGGTGGTCCTCAGACTTTTCGACAAGCAATTGTCTCTTAAGTTTTCAGAAATGTAGAACATAACAAGTTCCATGTCGACAACTAGTTGTCTAATTTGACATTGCGGCATAGTTCTCCAAGAAAAAGTCCTTCCTTGGTTATCTTTGGAACCTCCTATGATTGTTCAACATGCTGGATGATGAAGTTTCCAAGCAAGTGAAATTCCAGGAAATAAGCTCTACATCATGTTAACTTAAAATGATGTCAAGAAAAATATTCCATTTCTCGATCTTTTTTCTCTTTCCTTCTCACCAGTAAGCTTCCGAGATGGTAAAATTTCTTGCTTCCAAAAGAAGACATGATAAACTTTTTATGAGCTAACTGTCTCCGCTCCCCACCATGTATAGTCTACATATAGCCACTAAACTACATTTTCAACATAATGCCACCTTCCGAGAGGAAACCGAGAATGCTAAGTCTCTAAGAGCAATGGAAATGTTTTTATGTCTAATGGAAATCTAAAACAACAAATTTATTTCTTTAAGTCGAAAAAATTTTGGCATTTCGTTGAGCTAAAATAAATTCAACCCTTTACAGCTTAGAGATAGCAAACAAACACGAAAATTTAGCTCACATTTAGAATTCAACCAAGAAAAGAATTTTTTTTTACAGTTGCTTTCCACTAAATTCTGCTCCAAAAATCATCCAAACCAATGGAGCAAAAAAATGAAAAATAAACAAATAATACACTGAATAAACATGTAAAGATGATAAAAATCCAAAAAAAAAAAATTTCCAAGATTAAAAAACAAAAACAAAATTCACCTGAAAGTTTCAGCTGTGGCTTCAGCATTATCGTCATTTCTGCTCCGCTTATTTTTGCTGCGCGTCGTCGGTCGATTATTCCCCATCCTTAGAAGTCAAAAAAATTTTAAACAAAAAATCATGAAAAACTTCATCAATTTTACTAACTTGATTTTCAATTCAACTGCCTCTGATCAAAACCACAGTTCAATCCGAATAAAATTAATAAAATTCATAGCCAAATAAACGATCGAAGGCGAAATTCTGCACGAAATTCATGTGTGGTGCGTGAGTGTGTGAGAGAGAAAGGGAGAAATTTCGTACCTTTTTGCTGTGACTTTTGAAGACTTATTTTAGGGTTTTTTAAATTGATTTTTGGTCTTTTGATTTTTTTTTCTTTTTTCTAATTTTTTTATTTATTTTTTGGGCCTTCGGATTTTCCCTCTTATTTGGGTTGTCAGAGTTCAATAGCGAGGGAAAGTGAAATCGAGGGGACAGCCTGAAAGGAGGAGATTTTATTTATAGCACCTGGGGCAGAATCTGATGTTATGATAACTACAGGTGAATTTGTAGCAAATAGAGAAATGCATCCACTCATTTTCAACCACGTGGTTGTTTTAATTTTTAACCTTTTATGCTTTATTCTTGACTTTTTTAGTAAGGGAAAGTAATTAATTCCGGCATAATGACTATGCTAGAAAAGTGTAAAATAGAAGACAAGAAATTGGTTACACTCCATATTTTTCTTATCTTTTTCCCTACTCCCTCTATTACATGAATTTCAAGTCACTTGTTCGAGTGTCGTAAAAAAAAAATTATAATTTTCACTCGCATTATTAGTAATTGTGTTTGAATTACTGAATTATTTCACATAATATTTTGCTTGCATCATAAACATATTTTCTAATTTATTTCTTTATATTTCGAACTACCTTTTTATCTCACATACATCACATCACAAGAAGTGCTACACTAATTATTTCAAATAATATTTTAAATAATACTCTATCCAAACACATTCAGTTTTATTAATAGATCGGATAACGCAACCTCATAGCTAGTTAGAGGAGGGTGAGTATTGAGGGGGAGCACTCCTTTAAATATATATATATATATATGGACGATGATCTAGTTACTCGACATCAAAGAAATCTAATGCCTCAAAATTAAATTAGTAATAGAGTCTGAAATTATTTCCAATAACACAAAAGCAAAGTATGATTTATTCATTGTCTTCTAGACGTAGTACATAAGAACAATATTCACATAAAAAGATTGCATATGTTTCATTAGCAATACAACATAAAATCATATACTTGAATTTATAGTTGCTCACAAACCTGCTGTATAATTGTAAGGCACGAGGAAACAAAACTCTGTTTGTTTCAACGAAGAAAGGCACTTTCACTTTCACTTCTTCTTCTACACATTATTAGATAATCATGTATTTGCCTTTTAATAGAAAAAATTTTAAAAAAAAATTAATGTAGAAGGCTTTTGGTTTTGATTTTTGTACCATTCCGTTTCTGTTACATTACAAGCTAATGATTTGTACATTTACTTAAGCACTTCAGTTGTAGTAGAAATTGTAGAAAGTAATGTAACAACACTAAAGTTGTGAATAGCTATAGTGAGCATTATTCACTAGCAAGTCCTTCCACACATTCAAGATTTCCAACTATGAATCTCTGCCACTTACTTTTTTCTCTTGAACAATGGAATCGTCACCATGAATTGTTTTTAACAATTATATCTGATAATTGCTGAATTGTTTTTTCTTTGTTTTCAGGTAATTTGGATATATTTTCAGTTGCCTAATTCTTCACAAAACTATACATACAAACATAGTAAATGATTGAGCTTGTCTATCCGAAGAGGCGTCTGGTTAAGGGGTTTGAGACCTTAGGAATGGATTTTAATGTTTTTTCTTGTTCCTTTTTATTTTTTTCCTGCAGCCTTGGATTCAGATATGTTGGATAATTGTTGATGAAAAGTGCTGTAAATCAGTTCAAGGTTGCTTGCAAGCAAAACGATAAGGGCTGGTAGTGCCTGTTGTGAAGCTCTTAGACCATTTAGTCAATCAAGAACTTGTCAATGAACTGCTGGCACTTGAGTTGCTGTTTGGTGTTTTACAAGATCCTACAAAAGATAACATACAAGTTGCTGTTTTGGTTCAACATCGAATATAGACCAAAATACAATAGGATCATATGGATAAACATACTGAATGCTAGCTTAAACAAGGACTTGTTTGGTATCACAACATCAAGCTTTTTTGTAATGATAATATTATGATATCAAAGAACTTGAGAGATGACTTTAATGAATCTATTAGTTTCATTCATCCATGCCGTAGGTTTGGCCGTTAAAGTTTCATTAATTGATTCTTGATCATTAACAACCATATTAGGACATTTCATTGTTGATTCAACCAAGAGAATTACGTTGATCCCAAAAAAAAAAAAGGAATGCACAAACATCCTACTCTTCTTCGCAGCGGCCAACACATTGGCATTTTGGTTCTCTCTTTCATTTGTTTTTACTTTTTCTCCATTAGTGGTGTATAAATCTTGAAATTTATCTTGTAAAACTTCTTAATTAGAGTTTTATATTTAATTTTTCTTTACATGTTATGTGGTTTATGTTCGTGATTATTCATCATCCATTTTTGTTCACAAGATGACAAGGTTTTGATTTTGTGCCGAGTTGAAAATTGGTGATCATGTTGCCCATTTCTAGTTAAATTTTTACTAGATTCAGAGGTGACTAAGGAGGTCGTGGTGGTTGTGATTGTTAGGGTTTACCCAAAAAGCAAGGGAAAGGAAAAAAACAGTAATAGAAAAACATAAGGATTAATCTTTTCATAGTGTATACGCCGTTAACATAGTGTATACACCGTTAACATTAGATAAATAACAACTATACATAAATGAATTATAAGTTTTAATATTCACTCCTGAATTTGTCTAACCAAACAACCTATGAGTTTTGCCCAAAACCTATTTTTATTGCCCGTTTATTACTCTGATGATTGTGATTGCCATTCCGTTCATGTATTAAGGATAGTGCTGAAGCACTAAGAATTTTAATTACGTTACGAAAATGTTAGTATTAATGTTTTGAGTGAATAATAGGGTTCGTTTTAGTATGAAAAGTGTGAATTAGCTCCCTATGATAGCATGTTGTCTGAATTTCTAGCACTAGGGGGAAAAGCCCACGCAACGCATGGAAGTTTAGTGCCTATAATTAAAGATGGTTAATAATTATTATTTGGCATTTTCTAGTATAAGAATTGAAGTATGACAATTTTATTATATGATATTAAATTTAAAAAAATCATAAGTTACATATTGAGTCAAAAAATATAATATGCAATAAAACATAATTATAAGATACGATCAACTACTTTGCATCTAACCTAGTATAATAAAAGACCTATTTATATCTGCTCATGCATTTTAGGAATATTAAAATTTGTTATTTAGTTTGAATTTGATCTTGGTATGAGGGCAATCCACCACATTATCTTGTCATATAAGTGAGATTTGAACAATTAGCATACTTGAAGAAATCATTGCTAGTGGAATTTCGGTTCTTGCAAGCCAAATTCTTGAATTTATATTGATTCCAAGGACATATATCATCACGAGGCCTTCACATTGAGCAAGCAATTAATTATAATTTATTATATGATTTAGAACATATAGCAAAGCATCACCTTCTTGATGGGGGTTACAATCATGAAATGTCAGTTTTGTATTAGTTGCAAAGATATACAACAACTAACATGCTAATTTAGAGGAATAATTACCTCAAAAAAGTACTAAAGCATCCTAATCTACTCAATTCAAGAAAAACAATTAAAAGTAATGAGGTATATACTTTAGATTATTAGCCAAATAGTTTTAAGTAGATAGTTAAACATATTGGCAAATTAGATGAAGTGAAAAATTGTCTAAATAGAATAGTCAATAAAGTAGCAAACGGTTTGAAATTACCCTAACTAATAGTTAAAACAACAAAAGAAGTAGATGCAATCTATAAATGGGAAAATTTATGATGATAAACTTATTTTAAACTATAAATAACAATTAACAAATGTGGTCTCTTACGTATCAAGCTTGTCTAACATGGACAATTGAATTAAAACACTAAAAATTTATTGCACATACAATTTGCAATATTACAGATTTTTTACAACCAAAAAGTAGATTGGTTAAAAAAAACATACCTATTGAAAAAAATGTTGCAAAATGGAGAAGAGGAGTAGCTAATGTAGCAACATCCGAATTCAATATATTGTATGATTGTGCTGGAACAAAACCTATATGTAAATGAAATGAATTTGAATAGATGGGGGTTACTATGGTAACGGTCGAGAAACCAGACTTCTCTACTAATTGACATTAATTGTGTCTTAACATCTATATATCATAACTTTGCAAATAACTGATGAGAAAGGCTTTAAGAAATTAAAAGACTTAGATGTTAATACAATTAAATGATTAGAAGGGCTTTTATGTAATTTCACTAAAACACAAGCTGAATTCAGTTGTACCCAATGTTTAATCGGATATCAAACACTGTCACATATCAAACTTACCCCTAGCTTTAAATGTTTAAAAGGACATCCAAGTAATTACAACAAAACTAAATTAGTTATAATGACTCATATTCAATACTCTAATTGCACTACAAACACTCTCACATTTCCAAAAAAAATCCCACCCTTGCGGTTGAAATTAAAGCTTTAGACTCATTCTTATATAGTATAAGGATAAGGATGTAAGGATACTTATCTTAGGGCTTAATTATAGTTTACCCCTTGTAATTATGGCTCAATTGTAATTTACCACCCGAAGTTTATTTGATCTACACTTTACCATCCAAAGCTAACTGTCAACTATATTGGTTAACATTTGAACTTTTGAAGTCTGTATGTAATTCAAGTTAATTGTAGGTGCATGACTAATTAAACTTTCCTTTTGTTTAATTTTTTTTCTTCTTTTTTTTCCTTGCAATTTTTCTATGCCACCTCTTCCCTTCCTCTCTTATTATTTCGTGTATTTGGAATAAAATTTTTAGCTTGCTTTGGATCCATTCTATTGTTTCTATTATTTTTTAATTAATTTTCACTACTCACAGTTGAAACATACATGCTTTAATAGTTGTACATTTAGTCAATACTGGTAAATTTCAATTAGGAAATGTCTTCTTACAAGAATTTTTTATGCTTGTGGTTGATTGTCACCAATTCCCATTAGAGTGAATTCTTATTTGTAGACTTGAAGG